GTATATCAAAGCTGGGTCAACCGCGTAGTAAAGCGGGAGACCGATTCATAATCAATCCAGGGTTGCCATATCAAAAGGAACCTATTATGCCTGTCTTCCAATACTGCTGTTCATTTTTCATTAATAAAGAAGACTTAAATTCTGGATTTCACTTCTTCAAACTGAAGTGAAGGATACTTCCAGAAACATGCTATGGTTTGCTTGGTTGCCATAAAGAAAAAGGCAATCAATGTGTAGTCTTTGCGAGGGATATCTGTAAGCGGTTTATGGAGAATGGCTTCACCCAGATTCTTCCGAAGGATGATTTGTGCAACAGAGTGCATCATGTTGTAGATTCTAGTCCACAACTGATGGGCTACTGGGCAGGTCTGCCATATGTGAGGATGGTTGATACAATTCCTCCTGTTTCACTTCATTGTGGTTGATTATTCCATAGAGCTAGAGGTATCCTAATCTAGAAACGCGTTTTATACCTTTGTTGAAACACTGCTGGCATTTTTGGCAGCACAGTGGCTAAATGGTTAGCACTTCCATCTAGCAGCACTAGGGTCATTGGTTAGAATCCCAACCACAGCATTACCTCCATGGAGTTTGCATGTTCTCCCTGTGCCTGCGTGGGTTTCCTCTGAGTACTCTGGTTTCCTCCCACACTCAAGACATGCTGGTAGGTTAATTGGCTCCTGTCTAAATTGGCCCTAGTATGTGTTTGTATGAATGGGAGTTAGGGACCTTAGATTGTAAGCCCCTTAAGGACAGGGACTAATGTTAATGTACAATATATGTAAAGCGTTGAGTAAATTGACAGCACTATATAAGTACCTGTAATAAATCAATAAAATACATTTTGTGTTTAAATGCCCTTAATCCAACTTGTTTCAACTTTTTAATACAGAGGAACCCTTGAAATATGGGAAACCCTTATAGTATGTAGTGTATCTAGCATATTTGATACTCAAAGTAGATCTTTTTTTTAACAGTCCCCTGCTCTATAAGAAACAAATCTGTTTCAGTAACAATAGGGAGATTGAGCAAATAATAACACTGTCCAGAAAAGAAACACCAATGGTGAAAATTGTAGTGAACCTTACACTGAATGTCAGCAAAAAAATGCCTTCTTCTACTGGTAGTCGATGTAGCGGTCCCGTACTTTGGTGGCAACTGAGAGAAGGACCAATCACAGGTGTCAAACTGGCGGTCCTCCAGCTGTTACTGAACTACAAGTGGCATTGCAAGCCTGACAGCTTTAAGAATGACTCCCAGAGGCAGAGGCGTGATGGGACTTGTAGTTCTACAACAGCTGGAGGACCATCAGACCTGGTTTATACTAATAATCAGTCAGACAAGGACACTCGTGTAGACCAGGGGCACTGCCCACCTTACATACAGCTAAAAAGATCATCAATTTCAATGGTAACTAGAAGTTAGAAACTCTTCATTGCTAAAGGGACCCCTAGGTCCTTCTGGAGGAGCACCAGGGTTCCACGGAATCCTGGCCAAGAAACACTGCCTTAGATTAGAGAAAACAATTCTGGCTTTAATTTTATGCTTGTTTAGAAACATGCAGAACTGGAAGTATTTTATATCAAACAATTACTATAAAAAGTACAGGAAGCCCAATGACCCCTCTTTCGTTTTACAACGTACTGTAATTCTACTATTCCCACAAAATCCTATAAAAAAATCCAGTTTAAGACACCCTGGAAATGCTGGTAGAATGGGTATACAACTGCATTGGAGAGCCCTTCCCCCATTCCCCTATAATCTCTGTATTGCTATATAAAGTTTAGAACATAAGACGGATGGAAGACATGCTAAAATACAGGGTTCTACTGGATCAACTTTTCTTCTTCATTGGAGGGCAAGGCCTTACTTCAGGAAGACCCTTATTGATGCACATACATGACTATTGAGCTACTCCTATTTGTCTTCCTGTTTGTCTTTTCTTTCTTCTTTTTCTTTTTACTTCTTCTTCTACTTACCTGACCCTCTATCCTTCACCTATTTACAACCTTCATTACGTGAACTATCTCACCTGGTACTCTTGTTTGGCCTTTATAGGAGTTCAAACACTATTTCCACTTTTTTAGACAAATACACAACCCCACTGATATTGTTGAGGGTTTTATTGAACACAATATGCAATAAATACATGATCCATTCCTTATGACATGTTCTGTCTGAACGCTTTATGTTGTTTAATGTAAATTTAAAGTGTTAGTTTACCCTTGCTGAAAAGCAGACTATGCTGTCCCATATGGGTATAGTAGACTGTTGTGCTACAACTACCTTCCAGGTAGGGCCCCCTTCATTTTATAGAGCAGCCTTTCTCAACCTTTTCAACAAAGAGGTAACCTTTAAATATCTTTCCGGTCTTAGGGAACCCCGGCAATAAATTCCTATATCTAAAAGATGATACATTGGTGTGATGGTCAGTGGGAAGAATGCGTCTTACACTGTTGGTCATTGGGAAGAATTTCCCTTTACAGATAGCTAATAATATATCATAGGTGTCAGTGGGAACTTATCCAAGAGACAGAAATTGTTTATTGTTCAAGGAACCCCTAGCAACCTCTGGAGGAACCCTAGGGTTCCATGGAACCCTTGATGAGAAACCCTAGTAAACACACATAGACTGGCCATAGGGCACACCGGGCATTTGCCCAGTGGGCCGGGACCACCCTTCCCAACCCCGGGGCCTGTTGATGACTGGGCCGCATAGTGGGAGGTAAGTGGAGACCGCGGTCTGGACAGAGTAAACACAGACCGTGGTCACCACTCACCTCCTGCTATGTGACCGTGCCTGTGTCTCCTTTCCTGTTCCTCTATGAGAGGAGCTGGAGATATGCACTGACCGCTCCCTAACCCCCGGCCATTCCAGCCCTGATTCCCCTGCTCAGATCAAGCACAGAAGACTGAGGATGGAGGAGGGACCTGGACTGACTGACACTTGGGGAGGAGCGATCAGGGACCACACTATGCTCGGTCATTGGCTGCAGAGCGACGACACATGACTGGTGGAGAGCCAGAAGTAGTGGAGGTACAGAGAGAGCCCCGGTGTGTGAGAAAGAAATAGAGATCCCGGAGAGAGGATAGAGAGAGGGGGAGAGGGAGAGAGAGAGAAGGAGAGAGAGAGAGGGAAGGAGATAATGAAAGAATAGAGGGGGGGGGGAGAAGGGGAGAGAGATAGAAGGAGGGGGAGAGAGAGAGAGAGAGAGGGGGTGGAGAGAGAGGAAGGGAAGGGGAGGGAGAGAGAGGGAAGGGGAGAATGAAAGAAGAGGGGGGGGGAAGGGGAGAGAGAAAGAATGGGGGAGAGAGAGAGACAGAGAGAGGGGGGGGGGGGAAGGAAAGGGAGAGAGAGGGAGAGAGAGAGAGGGAGAAAAGAGAGGGGGGGTGAGAGAGAGAGAGGAGAGAGAGAGGGAGGGAAGAGGAGAGAGCGATGGGGGGGGTAGAGAGAGAAGGAGAGCGAGGGAGGGAGGGAAGGGGAGAGAGGGGCGGAGAGAGAGAGGGGGGGGGAGAGAGAGAAAGGGAGAATGGTAGGGAGAGGGAGAGGGAGAGAGAGAGAGAAGGAAAGAGAGAGAAAGAGAGAATGATAGAGAGAGAGAGAGATAGGGGGGGGAGAAAGAGAGAGAGAGAGAAAGGGAGAAGGATAGAGAGAGAGAGGAGAGAGGGAGAGAGAGAGAGAGAGGAAAAGAGAGGGAGGGAAGAGGGAGGCCCACTACTCCCTTCACCCCCCCCCCCTCCCCCCCCAAAAAAAAATTGGCTGCCCAGTCTAAAAATGCCTGGGCCTAAGCACTCTGTGATGGCTGAGTTATTGTAGGGATGGAGCTGCTGTTGGGACCAGCGCCCCCTAATGCCATGGGAGGGAGCTACATCCTGTTCTTTTTTGTGTTTGAACCCAGGCTGAGTCCTTTCACACAGGCATTCCATATGTCCATTTTTCATCTATCCGTTTATGTATGAAAGACAGACACCCATGTATTTCTATGGAATAGCAGATGCAAACGGATGATCATCTGTTTGCATCTGTTAATGTCCGCGTCCATTAACATCTGTTTTTTTAAACAGAAGAAAACCCAATTCTTTTTCCGTAAAAAAACCCCAGAATGGACGAAAAAAACAGATATAAACGGACATACGATTTGCTTTTGCATCTATTTTTGCATTGGTAAAGGATGTAAAAAACTGATGTAACTGATGAGAAACTGACGAAAAAACTTTTGTAAACTGATCCGTTTTTTCTTTGAAAATATGTGACTGAACTGATGAAAAAAAACGGAATGCCCGTGTGAAAGGACCCTAAGGCCTCATGCATTTTTACAGCCACTTTAGGGCTCCATGCATACTAGTGTTTTTTGTTTAAGCTAAAAAATGCTGTAAAAAATGCTGGTAATAGCGTTTTTTAGTAGTGTTTTAGTAGCGTTCAGAAGTGTTTAGGAGCGTTAACATTTTATTAGTGTTTTTACAATTAAAAAAAGCTAGGAAAAAAAGCTGTTAGGAGCGTTTAGGTTAGCAGCGTTTGGGAGAGTTTTGTGCTTTTTTCTGCTGGAAAAACGCTCCTAAAAACTCAACGAAAATAATTTTGTTTTGCTCTTAGATGCTGAAGCTCAAATAATGCTGAGCCCTCATACACACGGGACGTTTTGATAACGCTGATAACGTTAGGTGTGTAAAGGCACGTTAAAAATTTGAGTTTTCCACCTTTTTGTGTGTTTTTGCATTAGCGTTTTGCTGCGTTTAGTGGCATTTTCCTGTATTTTTTCCACGTTTGTGTTTTTTATAGTTGTTTTTTTTTTACTCCCCAAAAAAATTTATTTTGGTAAAAAAAAGTCCAAAAATGCCGGTTTGCGGCGTTTTACTGCATTTTTCAGAGTTAGAGCGTTTTTACAGCTAAAAAACTCCTCTAGACACCCACTAGTCCTGGGGTCTTTTTTCCAGCCAAAAAAGGTTGATTCCAGTCTATGTGTTCATGGACACATAGGATAACATGCTGGGGGGGTTACTGGCTGTAGAAAAAAATGTCAAAAGCCAAAAACAGCCGCTGCAAAAACATCCCGTGTGCATGAGGACTGATACTCTACAGTAGTGTGCATGGACCAGGGGCGGACTGACCATTTGGAAACTCGGGCACCGCCCGAGGGCCCGGGGTCAGTAGGGGGCCCCATGAGATGCCCCTGGTACCTTTTGCATAGGCTTTTTTGAGTTTGGGCAAGGACACAGGGGCCCCATGATCCCCTATTGCCCGGGGGCCCCATGAGTTGTCAGTCCGCCCCTGGCATGGACAGATAGGAGAATAGCTTCCAGGAGAAGAACAAATTGCTAACAGCTTGTAGGAGCTTCAAAAAACACCAGTGTGCATGGAGCCTTATGCCCCATACACATGATTAGAAAATCATGAAAAATTTTGCGGAACCACTGATGGAACGATTTTCTCTTCGTTGATGAGCAGGATGTTTTAACCGATAACAATATTGTGAACGAAAAAATCCGGTTGAACAACAGTGAAAAATGTCGTTTTGTATAGGAATGACCGATTTTCTATGCGGTGGTATGACGGTCGTACGAAAAAAATCTATCAAGCGCTATCACGCATGAGCAGAAACAGAAGATGACCCGGATGTTTATGTCAAAGGAATCTTCGTAAACACAAACGAAAAATCCAAATGTTAAAAGTAGATTGGCCTAATGAGATGATGAAACCAGAATTCTGCAGATTATATTTTATGTATCACTATTTATATATATAGGTCATGTAATAAACGATATTATACTCATTGCTGGTCATTGTTGTGTATATCACTCGTTCTGGCCGGAAGGGCACACTGCATCACTTCCACTTGTATGGAAGACATCAACACTATGTATTGCCCGACGAACAATTTTTTTAGATTGGTTAATGTGGGACACGATTTAGACCAACGAACGAACGCCTCTCGGTCATCGGATGACCGATCGGTCGATTTTCTAATCGTGTATTCCCACCTTTAGGGGCCTCAGTTGGTTTTTTTTCACTGCTTCCAAATGGCCCTCCATGTTATCTTATGTGTCCATTCATAGGGGTGGACTGACAACTCATGGGGCCCCCGGGCAATAGGGGATCATAGAGCCCCTGTGTCCTTGCCCAAACTCAAAAAAGCCTATGAAAAAGGTACCAGGGGCATCTCATGGGGCCCCCTACTGACCCCGGGCCCTCGGGCAGTGCTCGAGTCTCCAAATGGTCAGTCCGCCCCTGGGCTGAAGGTTTTTTACCTTCAAAAACCTTCTGTGTGTAGCAGTGCCCCCAGCCTCCTCTATACTTACCTGAGCCTCATCGCGATCCAGCGATGTGCATGACAGCCTCGGCTGTCCTGGGTCTCTGCCTCCTCATTGGTTGAGACAGCAAGTGGGAGCCAATGGCAATCACAGCCAGACAGCCAATGAGGAGAGAGAGGGGGGCAGGTCCATGCTGCAGCACTGTGCATAAATGGACACAGGGAGCAGCGGGTGCCCCCATAGCAAGCTGCTTGCTGTGGGGGAACCCCACAGAAAGGAAGGAGCCAGGAGCGCCTGCGGGGGACCCGAGAAGATGAGGATGTGGGCTTCCCTGTGCAAAACCACTGCGCACAGCAGGAAAGTATAGACATGCTTATTATTTTACAAAAAAAAATGAACATTTAGTATCACTTTAATTCATCAGTTACAGCATAGCACTGTTATTTGCAGCATGATATGGAATAAACTCCAATCAGCGTTCTCAGTCCAGGGTGCAATAATGCATGGTGAAGAATACACGGATTACCCGATGTATTACAAGAGCTGTCGCTGGCATCAGGCCTTAACAGAATAAACAGATTAGTCACGCTGACAGTGAATGGGTAGGGACGGGTATACTCAAGAGAAGAGGCAGTAGGGTATTCTAAAGAGATACATCTTTGGGGAATGCTGGAAGACAGCAGTGTATTGGAGGTCTACTGAGAAATGGCTGCAAGTTCAAAAGACGAAGGCCACACTGAAAGAAAATATCAAGGCCGTTCCCTGTAGCTATGGAGCATATGGGACTCAGCCGAAAAAAAAAAAAAAATGCAGTCATCTATTATCCTCGTGGAAAAGAGATATAAATCGAAGACCAAGAATAAGGCCCCTTTTTTGAACACTTAAAATATATAGGCAGCCTATAACTACCAACATAGACCAGTGATCACAAATGTGCATACTCTCCCAGCACAGAAACGGCAAGACTGACATCTACTGGCTGAAACACAAGATTCGCGCCCGTGCTTAAAAAGAACGCATGTTCAAAAATTTAACCTCTTAATAACAGGGTTGTTTTTTTTTTTACAGTTTGTAAAAATTAGACCAAAATAAAATTTTTGCTTGTTTTCTCTTAAGTACTTGCCCTCCAGAGGATTTACCCCCCTTCCTGACCACACCATTTTCTGCGATACGGCGCTGCGTCACTTTAACTGACAATTACGTAGTCATGCAATGTGGACATAAATGAAATATACATCCTTTTTTTCCCACAAATAGAGCTTTCTTTTGGTGGTATTTGATCGCCTGTGTGGTTTTTTATTTTTTGTGCTATAAACAAAAAAAAGACCGAAAATTTTGAGAAAAAAAACAATATTTTGGACTTCTAGTAAAAAAATTTCGTCATAAAAAAACAATATTTTTGACTTTTTGCTATAAAACATACCCAGTAAAAAATTTAAAAAATCAAATTTCGGCATAAATTTAGGCCAAAATGTATTCTGCTCCATGTCTTTGCTAAAATAAAATACCAATATGTGTAAATGAATTCATTTACAAATGGTAGGAATTTTTTTTTTTTTTTAATACTAGTAATGGCGGCGATCAGCGACTTATACTGGGACTGCGGCGGGCATTCTGACACTGGGGGGGGGCTGACTAACTGCCACTGACATCCCAATGATACTAATACAGTGATCAGTTCTAATAAAAAGCACTGACACTGTACTAGGGGCGGACTGATCATTTGAGCACTCAGGCACTGACTGAGGGCCCGGGGTCAGTAGGGGGCCCCATGAGATGCCCCTGGTACCTTTCATTGGCTTTTTCATAGGTTTTTTTTGGGTGTGAGCGAGGACACAGGGGCCCCATGATCCCCTATTGCCCGGGGGCCCCATGAGTTGTCAGTTCGCCCCTGCACTGTACTAATGGCGCTGGGCAGGAAGGGGTTATTCTGCTATATGTCTTTGCTAATAAAAATCCCAATACAGTGGTACCTTGACCTACGAGTGCATTTAGGTACGAGTATTCTGAGGTAGGAGTAGTCATTCGGTCGATTTTTTGCTTTGTTACGCGAGCAAAAAATTGAGGTACGAGCTGGAGATGGCGCTGCTGGATGTTGTAGTGAGCAGTTACGCCCCAGCCTCCGAGACGCATCGAGACACGCCTCCAACACGCGCTCTCGGTCTTCTCATGGTCTCTTCACGTGTTTATGGTCTCTTCACGTGTTTATGGTCTCTTCATGTGTTTATGGTCTCTTCACGTGTTTACCTCAAACCAGAGGGTGAGATAAGAAATTAAGATAAGAAAAGAAGAAAACAAGGTAAGTACACTGTATAAAACCTTATTATATCTTTACATACTCTTTATATTTTTTTTCTATACAATATTTGTTATTTAGAAATGCATTTTGAGGGTTGGAACGGATTAAGAGCATTTTAATTATTTTCAATGGGGAAATTTGATTTGATGTGCGAGCAAATTGAGCTACAGCCACGGAACGAATTAAACTCATAGGTCAAGGTACCACTGTAGGTGTAAAATAATTGGTTTACATGAAAGTTATAGCGTCTACAAATGGTGGTATAGATACTGGAATTTTTTTTTACTAGTAATGGCGGCAATCAGTGACTTATAGCGGGACTGCGGTGGGCATTCTGACACTGGGGGGAAAACTGACTTGGTGTCGCTGACATCCTCAGTGACACCAATACAGTGATCAGTGCTAATAAAAAGCACTGACACTGTACTAATGGCCCTGGGCAGGAAGGGGTTAACATCTGGGGCAATCAAAGGGTTAACTGTGTGCTGTTTTACACATTCGCGTATTTGCGTGTACATAGACACGTGTAAAACATTTTCAAGACTTATTTTAGGTTACTAGCATATGGTACTGAGGTCTGAAAATCAGTTTTCCTGGCCAAAATTTCAGGCATTTATTTTGTCCATAACGTAAAATAAATTCTAACCCTTTCAAATTAACATTTGACATGCATATACACATATTTGCACGTATTTGCAGGCATATGCATGGATACACATAAAGTACTGACCAGCAACTCAGATTTCTACATCTATATGCAGAGCATGCTTATATGCCTGTGTGCACAGGCTCATTGAAAGCAACGGGCTACAATTAGATCAGTAAAAAAAAACAAAAAAACACATGTATACCTAAAAACACTGAGTTTTCAGGCTGCAGTGTACAAGAGGCCAAAATCAACAGAGTTTGATGTATGCACACAAAAATACAACACAGATTTCTGTTTTTTTTTTTTTTTTACTGCTCTATATGCAGAATGTGTTTACACACCTGTGTGTACAGCCACATTTAAAACAATGGGCTACATTTACATCAGTTAGAAACAAAAAAAGCTTGTATGATGAAAAACACAGGCAGCAGTGTGCAAGAGGCCTAAGCATGACTCCCCTTTCTAAAAAGGATCCCTTTTTGCTGTTTTTACACAAATCATAGATGTGATTAAAGTGAATGTAAAGGATAAAATTATATTTTTAAAAAATAACAAATATGTTATATTTACTTGCTCTGTGCAATGGTTTTGATCAGAGCAGCCACAATCCTCCTCTTTCGGGGTCCCTCGCTGGTGCTCCTGGCTCCTCACCCCTGCTGAATGACCCATAACAAGCCGCTTGCTAAGGGTGCACTTGTGCGGGTACCTCCTGAGCCATGCTCTGTGTGTCCATTAACACACAGAGCGCGGCTTGGCCCCACTCCTGCTCCCTGTGATCGATGGGAGGGAGCTAATGGAGGGAGAGAGCCTTTGCAGTGCTGGATCATAAGGGGGGCTGGGGGGTTGGGGCTGCAGAAGGTGTTTTACCTTAATGCATAGAAGGCATTAACCTCCCTAGCGTTCTGATTTTTTCAGATTTTTGGTCCCGGGTATGATAAAATTTGAAACAAAATCATAAATTATAATTTAATAAACAATCATAAAAAATAATAATATAATAATAATACATTTAATTCAATAATATAATCAAACCAAAAACACAGAAATTTGAAATATAGCGCCAAGTTCTCATATCACTGAGCAAAGTCGCAAAATTGTTTTCAGTGTCTGATGACGAATTTCCCCACAAATCATTATCACTCAATTCTGCAAGTGGTTCTGATTTACTATCGCTGTTCTCTAGCCGGTCTAAAACCGCTTTTGACCTAAAGGGACACTTTTTGGACGCCATGGACTTTTCTAAGCTTCCAGGCAGAAAGAACAGACAAAATGCAGACAGGGCACAGGACAAAGCAGTAGGGACAAAATGTATGTGAAATGGTTTGAAACAGCAATGTTTTACTATGTAAAATTCGTTTTGAAAAAAATGAAATTTTTTTTAAATTTTCCGCTGGCGCCCGTACGTCCCGTCGTCACAGGGACCGGAACACAGAAGCCGGATGCCGGCATCAGCCGGAGGAGATGGCCGGGGACCCTGCAGGGGACACATTGCGGGAGCGAAGGGCAAGGTAAGCGCTGGAGGGACTCCCTATGCAGCGCCGCATGGTAAGCCCGAGTGTAGCTCGGGCTTACCGCTTTTGGTACAGAAACTTTACCCCGAGCTACACTCGGGAATACCGCCAGGGAGGTTAAGTAAAAAAACAAAAAACCTTCATCCTTTAGAACCACTTTAACGGGGATCTGCCAAATGGAGGATGGACAACACTTATCTGGCCATCTGAAAATGCAAGTTCCCTAGCGATTGTACTTCAGTGATTTGCATTACTGATATAGAATAAAACACAAATCTGGAATTTGACTTCACTTGCTTCTTGCTTGTTCACGATCTCAAGAAGTAATCAAGCTAAATACAGTCAGCCAAATTGTATTTTCAGAGGATGGTCAGCGATGGGAAGCTCCATACTGTTCTCAGGCCTGGTGTCCTCTAGAGGAGAAGAAGAACCAACCATCAACTCTTTCTCTAACACCTTAGATTGTATGCCCCTTACGGGTTAGGGACTGATGTGAATGTACAATATATATGTAAAGCGCTGCATAAATTGACGGCGCTATATAAGTACCTGAAATAAATAAATGAAATTCTGGAAAAAGGTCCATCTCAGCTAAAAAATAGCGACAGCTAGAAGTATACTGATGGCCAGTAAGAGACGAGGAACCATTTCACGGCCACAATCATTTACATGATATGTCTTTTATATATGCATCTGCGCTGATTGTTCTTGATGAAAAATAGACCTTGCTTTAGTTTTACTAGTTTAGAAATATTAACATCCAGTTATAAATAATGCCAAGTATGAGGCCGGGATAAAGCAACTCCACACAAGCCCATGGGGCCATATTAGGTCAACAAGGTCACGAGTATCCACCTCGCTGTGTACCAGCAGCTGTGGGATGGGGAATCCTCTGGCCTGCAACTGTTTGACCCGGCACTGACACCTTCCTTCCTGGTTTGGAGCGAACCCAAGCTCATCCCTACTCTTTAAAGTGGTAGTAAAGTTTGTTTTTTTACTTGTACCAATACTAAGGCTTACCTGTAGGTACAGATAGGCCCGAACAGGGGCGGACCGACAACTCATGGAGCCCCCGGGCAATAGGGGATCATGGGGCCCCTGTGTCCTTGCCCAAACTCAAAAAAGCCTATGAAAAAGGTACCAGGGGCATCTCATGGTGCCACCTACTGACCCCGGGCCCTCGGGCAGTGCCCGAGTTTCCAAATGGTCAGTCCGCCCCTTGGCCCGAAGCAAAA